CATCTAGGTATGCTGTGCATGATGTTTTGATGACATTTAATGTGGTAGACTAAAATGAAGCTTTGAAAATGTCTACATTATCACAGCCGCTATTCTTCATTAACGTATGATCATTCTCTAAACATAACTCAGTTATTTATGGGGTTCAAGCATGTTTTAAACAAAGATTGAATGACAGAAAATTAAACCTTTTTAAAAATATTTATTTGTTATAATTAGTTATTTTTCATAAATGATGAAATTATCACAGAGATGCAGTCTGTTCGTTTCTTTGTTTGCTTCCAGTTACGTAATAGGGGCATTATTTCAATATGACTTGAGTATTCTGCAATTAAATCTTTATCATTTAACATTTAGGTCTCAAGAAATGTCAATTCACTCTCTCATGCCATAGATACATAACACTGAGGCTTAATTCCCTTGTACCTTCACTTTCCATGTTTTGTAAATAATATTTTGGAGGAGGATGTTTACATTTTGGCTCAAATCATTTCTATATATTTATTTATCTTTTCATAATTGATTTGTTGTTATCATAATTTTATTCACAAGCATATTGAGGAGATATCTGATTTAAAAGTCAAATAATCTAGAATAATAAATGATACAGTTTTACAAGTGGTAACAGAAATATTTCTAGGGTCTTGTTTTTAATATATATATAAACCACTTATTTTGTTACTAATATTACATTGAACATACATATACTTATACCACAACAAAATACAGAATATGACCTTGTACTTGCATATGGTTTAAATCATAAAATTTATTATTCATGCATTGTAGTGGGAGAAAGACAGTCAAGTTGTAGACATTTCGTTGCTAATCAGAGATACCTTGGTAATATATATGTTTTAGAAGGCTTTTTGGAGTTTTGCTACTTATTAACGTAATCATTATGTCTGGTATTATCTGCAGTATGTGTTCATTTAAAATGTTAACATTCATGCATGCATGTAGTTTTGTATATGAGTTGTTTGTTTTATTTTTGCATCTGCATTGTAAGATTTTGTAAAATAATTCTTTGTTTGTTTAAAGTGAGTAGTGCGCACATTGTCTGATATAGCTTCTGCACATATCATAACATGCAAATAAATGTCATTTGGATGGCATTAGGACTAAAATGCATTTCTAGATTTAATACAGTATGCTTGGTCATACATAATTAAGTAATAGTTGAAGTTTTTATCGTGAGTAACATTGATAAAACTACTTAGGTGACCAGCGAAATCAGTTTAAAGCAAATTCCAGTGTTTCAGAAATGTTCTATATTTTCTTGTCCACATTGAATTTCTGCTCCACATTGATGCAGTTAATTGTCCAAGATTTTATTACAGAAAATCAAGTTCACATATTTTAAAGAAGCCTCAACACCTTATTCAGAAAGCATGAATATATAGTGAAACAAAATTAAAGCTACACTATTGATAGACATTAGTAATGTTTTCATTATGCAAAAATTTACTACATTCTTAAGACAGGTGGTGCACTTCTATAAAATCGCAACTAGCTTACATGCGGAAGTTCAGTTTATCCATGTTAGACTTTGTCGGATTTCACAGAAATTATTGATGAAATTTGCATAACATATATTTCCTGGTTGTACTGAATTTTTTATGGATAAAAACATATTGTAATTTCACTTTCTCAGCATTGGAATTGTTCCATGTTATACTGCCTTGTCTCCCACCACTTCCACCAAACGTATGTGCCCATTTATAAATTGCATGACAAGAGGACTTGCAGTTTACAATTTTTAAAAGCACAGAAATTATTCATATTTATATGCTCACAGTTTACATCACATAAAAATATAAAGTTGTGTTGATATTATGAAACACAGCAAATAAATAAAGACTCTGTAGATGGTGATCTTTCAGGTTGTTTGACTGTGTAGTATTGGCTGTATGTCAGAGGAACATACTGCCTTTATTATCAGGGCTGAAGTGAGGAAGGAGTGTTGGGATGTGGAAGGGTTACATAGGCATAAGTGATGAATCAGACCACACAGACTGGACAGTCAGATCCATAAGATGAAAAGGGGTGATGGAGCCATACACATCCCACCATGGAAAGTCTTCGGTTTCCTCTGATGCATCAAGGATGACCTAGCTCTTAAAACACCGAGTGTTTATAGCATATCCTCTAAGTGTGATAATATTTACATTGGACAGACTGGTCATTCCATTGAAACCAGTTTTAACC